CTGTATTATTATTACCCCATCAGTGCACCAAGTATACATAAAAGGCTGTGCGGAACCAGATTCTTTACAACAATGAAAAACGGGAAACTATCAAATTAAAAACTTATGTATAGCTACATAATGAAATATTCTGGGGCAGTTGTTAACAAAACTATAGATTAGTCTGTACCATGATCAGGGGAAAAGAAAAACCATGCAAGGTGTAATGTTAACTATAAGAGGGTGTATAGTATGCTGCCATTGGTATAAATAGTGATGATGACAATGATGCTATGACTGAATAGATGAATGTTGAATGAATGTGCAAGACCTATAGAAATCAACCTGAAAGCATTTAAATAGACATATATCTGGGTATAGAATTGAGAAAGATATTTTCTTTTTTTTTTTTTTGCATTAAAAACTTTAACATGTTTGCCTTTTTCCAATGAGGCTGTATTATTTTAGTGGGCATTAAAAAAAAATAATGACAGTAAGGACTCAAACCATAAACCAATGGGCCCTGGGCAGGGGAGAGGGAGGGACAGGGAAGGACCCTGATATTGGTCCCTTTCCTCAGGGACAGATGATCAGACTCATTCTTCCCTAGTGGTCAGTGAAGGCTGGGCGTCTGGCAGGGGCCTCAAGGCGAGTAGTCGTGTACTGCAGAGGTTGCAGTTGGAGACAAATTTCATCTCAGCTGCAGCCTCATCATTACTCCTTGTTCTTTGTTCCTTGTTCCTTGCTCCTTGTTCCTTTGACAGCTGGATCCTGCCTCTGTCCCTGTTCTTAAATAAATCCTTTAGGAAGATAAAAAAAGAGGGAGTGGAGGGGGCAGGATGGGAGAAAAGAAGAATTGACAGGAAAGCGGGGAGAGGGGAGGCAGAGACGCCAGAGAAGACTGGGAGATGCTCTTCCTGCATCTCCATGGCCCCGGGAAGAGGGATGTGGAACTGCTCCTCTGCTCTGTCAGGAGTCGCCATGGAGACTGAGTGCTGGCCTCTTCATGATTAATACGCCGAGGCAGCTGTCTTCTTGGAGTCTTTTAAAATACATACACTATTATTTGAACACAATGATATTTAGAGCAGAAAGATCAAGGTGGATGGGGGAAGGGCAGTAGCATTACCAGAACAAACGACAGGGGCTGGGCTTACTCCTCCTGATCTCCCATTTCTCCCTCCCTGGATTGAGAACTTCCAGTGCGGCATCAGCTTCTGAAGGGCCCTCCTAGTGCCTGGCACAGGGCTGTGCTCAATGAACATTTGATGAATGAATTTGTTCATTCATTAATTCATTCACCAGTTGTTTGTTCAGTGCTTGTCTAGAAGGTAAACTCTCCTCCCCCTCCCTTTTGCTGTAGAAATTGGGACTTTCCTCTCACTCCCCCAAAGACCACACACACCATCACTGCCACCACCACCACCAACTTCACATTGGCTTCCAAGGACCTTGGAGGCGCTCCTCCTCAGTACACGTCTAACGTGGCCCGCAGTGTTGCTATGCATGGCAGTCATTCCAGGGATTCTTGCAGGGGTGGACACCAGCCAGGTCGAGTTTGCACATTATACCCTACCTGAAAAGCTAGCAGGAGATCCTCCATGTAAAGCCATTCTAGAGTGAATCCTTTTGTAAAATGAATGATCTTTTCCTAAATTATCTTGTGGAGTAGGTTAGCCTGGGCCTGACTCTCACTCCCACCAATGAATAGAAGAGTAACCATGAGCAAGTTATTTAACCTTTTTGAATCCTGTTTCCTTATCTGTGAAATGGGTCTACAATTTCTTTCTCCATAGAGCTTTTGTGATGATTAAGTGAAATGTTTGTGAAGTGCCCAAGGTATGTGATTTCCCTTTTTGCCATTGCATAAATTTGTGTTTTTATATCTGAAGTGTGAATTAACGTGTAGCTCATAGGTCTAAACTCCTCTCTCTTCCATCCCCTCCCAATGACTTTTATTCTATCTGGGCCCAGAATCTCTTTTTAAACTGTTAAAATTGGGGGGTGCGGACAAGAGGGGTTGTTCTGGGAAGGACCACAAAATGTCCATTCCCCTTTTATATATCCTCTTCTTCCTCAAGAAACGAAATGCAGATGCAACTGCCCTCCACCGGTAACCATCTGTGTATGAGTGTGTTTGTGTGTCCACTGAAAGTGAGTGCTGATAAGAGGGTGTGTGCCAGCCCACACTCAGAGAACAAGCTGTGTTCCCCATCTCCTCTCCTACTCACTCCTCCCTCCCCAGTTCTGCCCCCAGGCCTGGCCTCTAACAAGAGAAAGTTGGGGGGAGTTGGACCCTTGTCTTAATGCAGACCTAACCCAAGGGCGTTTGGCAGAGAGTAGCAATGGCCTGGGAATTTGCCAAAGGAGTAGGGGAATTATCCATGACTAAGATGGAAGAGGAATGCTGTGGCAGAGGGCAGAACAGCAGAAGGGACAGGGAACCTGGGGCTGGCCAATCTGGCCCGACGGGGAAACCTGGGGAGCCCTGGACACCTGCCTAGCCAAACTCCCCTGCTCCCCCTCCCTCCTAGGCAGCAAAATGCCAGAATGGATTTGAGACATGTGTGCCCTGCATGTCTGGTGTGGGCTCACCTGGTCTTGGCAATGCAGTTGGATTATATTCAAACTTAGGTCTGAAATAGAGTTTAAAAGAAATAGTCTTCTGTGTGTCTAATCCTTACAGACATGTGTGGGGTTTCTGTGTTTCCTACATGCAAATATATGTGCTGCTAACATAAAACTGTATGTGTGGCACTTGTCAGAACATGCTACATGTGCATGACTCAGAGAAAACCTTTGTATGATTTCCAGACACCAGGAGATGAACGTGTGCCTGGATGTGTTTTGCAAGTGATCATGTGATGTCATATTCCAAGAACACACTTGTAGGGTCCTTACAGGTTAGGGAATGAGCAATGAGGAAAAGCAATGTATCTTGGGGTCCTGGCAGAATAAAAAACAAAGTCTACCTTGTAGTCCAGAGTAGCCACTTAAGGAATGAACATTGAGAAGCGGAATGAATGAATGTTTGGATGATGGACATTGGGTGAAAAGTCAGAGAATCTGGCGGGGTTTGGGTAATCTTGGCACTCTCTCTTGAGAAGGAGAGTATCGGTCAACAAGGGAGGCTGGGAGATACACTGCCAGTCACGCTGTAGCCCATCACCCTGAATGGCTTTGTTCTCATTCTTAGGAGAGTAGAGGAGGAAACCCCAGGCTTGCCCTCCCCACCTTCTGGCACCCAGAATCCTAAGAACTGATGCTTTTTGTAAAGAAAAATATGCTACCCCATGTGTTTATTTAATCCCCTACGTTGGTTCCAGAAAGGAGGTAAGTGAGCTATAACACAAAATAAAATTTAATTTAAAAAAAAAAGATGAGAAAATAAGACAGAGGGAAAACCACAGCAGGATAAGATCAGGAGAGTAGGCACACTTCTTTGTGGAAGTTGCCTGACATGCAGCCAGGATTCACAGCCTCTTTAAGGTTTTGGGTTTTTGTTTAAGCTTTTCAAAAGGAGCCTAGTGACTCCCTGATTCCAAGGAAACATATCCTGTGTGTTGCAGGAAACAACATCCCTTCATTTATACGAAGGCAGAAAAAAGTTCTAAAGAATTCTCTCACACCTTGCAGGTGAAGGGAGAGAGAGCAGGAATTGGCCATACTTCTCTGGTGGACAATTTGCCAGCAGTCCTTCAAAATTCTACACAGCAGTTGACCCCAATTTATACTCATTGCAATTTATCTCATAGATATGTTCACATATATATAGTAAAGATCGTTGAGTACAACAATGTGGGTAAAAGCAAAAGGCTGGAAACTGCCTATATAATCATGGATAGTAGATAAATTGACCTCTGTTACAAAGGAGTATTGCACAGCCTTAGAAAAGAATGACTGAGCTCTTCATATGTGGATTTAGAACAATTTCTCAGCTATTATAAACTGGAAAAAATATATTGTAGGACAGTGTGTACTCTTATATATGCATATTTGCTTCTGAAAGAATACACAATAAGCTTAGATGCGGCTACCTCAGGAGGTAGGAGGGTAGAATAGAGATAAACTTTTACTTTTCAATTAAGAATATACCCTTCGGTACTGACTTTCTCTCGCCATTAGCAAGTAGTATAATCCTTTATAATTTAAATGTTATTTTTCCTAGAATAAACTTTAAAAAACTATTTTGAAAATTAAAAACACACGTATAAGCAAATTACGAATAATGACAATAATCTCTCTGGCTTACCGAGTGCCCCAGTGCCTATAACTTAATATGCTCTAACACAGTCACTCTGTATAACAAATTTATGTAGACACATACACATTGCTCCATTTAAGAGGTGGGAAAACTGACGTTAGGGAGATTACATGACACAACCAGTAAGTGGCAAAGAGTGGATTTGATTCCCAAATCGTGTAACCCCCAAACCCACGCTGTCTTTCCTCGCCGTCCTTCGTCCTCTGCCTCCAGGCGGAAAATGCACTTACGGGACGACCCTCCCCACGCGGCGGACCGACCCAGCCAGGGGCACACGCTGCCCCAGCGCGCACGGAGCTCCACGCTCAGGGAGCGCGCGCGCACGCCGCGGCGCGGGCCCGGCGGCGGCGGCGGCGACGTCACAGCCCGAGCTTTCCTTTTCGGGAGTCCCCGGCACACATCCTGTGTCCATGTTTGGGCATTTACGTCACAGCGGCAGGGCCGGGGCCTCCCGAAATGGCAGTGGCCCCGGGAGTCGGAAGCCCTGAGCCAGCGCAGCCGCCGCTATATAAGTGGGGGGGCCGGGCTTTGGGGGGAGCCCGGCTGCGCTTTGGAGAAGCGAGAAGCAGCCTCTTGAGGCCCGTCCCAACGAGTAAGAGCGCCACGGCCCCCCGACCCCTTTTCCTGAAGTGAACGCCCGGAGCCAGGAGCCCGGGCGCCTGGGTCTGCGAGGCGCGGAGCGCCCCGACAGCCGGCCTCCCCGCCGTCCACGCGTCCCCAAGCCCAGCGGGAGAGGCCCCCGGCCCCCCGCAGCCGCCGCCGCAGCCGCGCCATGCTCCACCTTAACGAGTTTTCCGGCCCCGACGCGCTTCTGGTCAAGTCCTCCGAGGGCTGTTGCTCGGAACCCAGCAACGACCTGCCCCGGCTGCCGGCCAGGGACGCGGCCGCTGGCTACACCGGAGGTAAGGAGCGCGGCCGGGCTTGCTCAGACGGCGGCGCAATGCGGGGGCGCACGGTGCCTGAGAACAGACAGGGTTTGGGACGCAGCAGGTGTGGGGGTAGGGATCGTAGGAAGCTCGGGGGATTCTTGGGGTGCGCACCGCCATTGTCACCCCCATCGGACCGCCAGCGCCTCCACAGGAAATTGTGCGTGTATCAAGGTGTCCTTTTTGCCTGTACACGTGTGTTTTGCGTGTGCATGTTTTTGTGTGCGTCTTGGGGCGTTTGCCGACTCCTACTGGATCAGAATGTGCAAAAAGGCACTTTATATGTCAGTGCGCACCAAGAGAGCCTGTGTAAGGTCTGCAGACTCTGAGGCGCGCCCTTTTTTTGTGCCCAGAGTTGATTCCTGCTCCTTCCTCAGCAGGCGACTTCTTGAGCTGGGCTTTGAGCAGCTGCGGCACCGGGGGAGACTTAGCCGACTCCTGCTTCCTGGAGGGGCCTGCGCCCACACCCCCTCCCAGCCTCAGCTACAGCGGTAGCTTCTTCATCCAGGCAGTGCCCGAACACCCGCACGACCCGGAGTCACTCTTCAACCTCATGTCGGGCATCCTAGGCCTGGCACCTTTCCCCGGCCCTGATGTGCCAACATCCCGGTCTCCACTGGACGCCTCTTTTCCCTCAGGCCCCGACGCCTTGCTGTCGGGTCCGCCGGACCTTTACTCCCCAGATCTGGGAGCTGCCTCCTTCCCAGAGGCGTTCTGGGAGGCCTCGCCGTCGGCTGGCGCCCCCTCGCAGTGCCTGTATGAACCTCAGCTCTCCCCACCCGACGTCAAGCCAGGCCGCCGGGCTCCTCCGGCCTCCCCAGCGCTGGACACTGCCTCGGCCTTCAAAGGTCTCTACGCTCCCTGGGAGCTGCTCCCTGGGAGTTGTGGCTCCCAGGGAGGTTACCAGGCCGCCTCCGAAGCCCGTTTCCCCTCGATGGGGGCCAAGATTGAAGATCTCCTGTCTATCAGCTGCCCCGCGGAGCTGCCAGCTGACTCGGCCAACAGACTCTACCCTACAGGGGCTTACGACGCTTTCCCGCTGGTCTCGGGTAACTTAGGGGAGGGGGCTGAGGGCCTCCCGGGGCTCTTGACCCCTCCTAGTGGGGAAGGAGGGAGTAGCGGCGACGGCGAAGAGTTTCTGGCCGTTACTCAGCCTCAGCTTTCCCCACTGGGCCTCCGCAGCGCCGCGGCAGACTTCCCGAAACCTCTGGTGGCGGACATCCCTGGGAGCAGTGGCGTGCCAGAACCTCTTGGACCGCCGGCTCCATTCCCCCCAGTTAAGGCGCGGCGCAAAGGGCGCCGGGGCGGCAAGTGCAGCGCACGCTGTTTCTGCCCGCGGCCGCACGCCAAGGCTTTTGCTTGTCCGGTAGAGAGCTGTGTGCGTACCTTTGCGCGTTCCGACGAGCTCAACCGTCACCTGCGCATCCACACGGGCCACAAACCCTTCCAGTGCCGCATCTGCCTCCGCAACTTCAGCCGCAGCGACCACCTTACCACACACGTGCGCACTCACACAGGCGAAAAGCCCTTTGCCTGCGACGTGTGCGGCCGCCGCTTCGCGCGCAGTGATGAGAAGAAACGGCACAGCAAGGTGCACCTCAAGCAGAAGGCGCGCGCAGAAGAGCGGCTCAAGGGCCTTGGCTTTTACTCATTGGGCCTCTCCTTCGCTGCCCTGTGAGAAGAAATAGGTGTGTAGATTGGGGCGCCGCTGCCAAGCGCTCCAGAAAGGACAAGACCCGTCCCCCTTCTCTTCTCTTCTCTTCTCTTCTCGGCCCGCCCTGGGTCTGGCCTCTAGTCTGGCTTCCAAGTTCCTTTGAAGCTCCCGCCGCATACTTTCCGTTCAGCACCAGCTCCGTGGACAGCTCCCGCCGTCTAGGCTCTGTTTCCGCGTGAGCCGCGCTCGGGGGAGTCCTGTCAGACCACCCAACTAAGCAGGCATTTCTTCGGGATTCAAGACCACGTTTCGTACCTGGCGCACGCCCTACGCCGTCCCCTAGTCCCCCGCCCCGCCCCCAGACAGGCTGGGGCAGCGCCGAGCCGGTCTCGAGCGGTATTTTGTACAGCAATGTCGTTTCCAGCAGCCATTGGATGTAACGTTTTGCTTTGGGGTTATTTCCTTTTGTTGTTAATTTTTGTAAAGCAGACGCTACTCTCAAGCAGTTGGCAAAACTGTTTATTTTTGCAATTAAAATTATTGTGCTAAAAGCTTACTGAATCTGCCATACAAACTCTTGACCCTTCTCCGCAAACTCCCCTTCCCTCCCAGAGAACATGTGCCAGAAAAGCGAGGAGTTCCTCACACTCATGGAGTCATTTCCCACCTCCTGTCAGGCACTGTGGCACATAGGAGGTATTCAATAAATGTGTACTGAGTTGACAAATGAATTTAATCACAGCTAGCCTAAGGGCTCAAGGTGTTTCTGGAAGTTTTGCATACATTAACCCCCCTTAAATCCTCACAGCCTTGAGTCCAGCGTTCATATGCTCCATTTCCAAGATCCAGGAAACAAAATAGTTTACTTTCTGGGTAACCCAGCCAGGAACAGACACAGTCAAACTCAGATCTCTCTAGCTTCAAAGCCAGTGCTTTTCCACCGCCCCCTGCCCTCCAGAATGGCAGAGACTCAGCTTAATAGCACTGTTTGGAACGGCTTCCCACCAATAGGTGAAATAGGTTCCACAGCTAGAGGGAGCCCCAGGCAGTAAGGACAGCAGCAGAAGACTGCAGTACTTCAGTGCTGTCTGCGCACCACCCGTGTGCTGGTGGTCACAGAGGCTCCAGCAGGTGCCCGTGCATCTGTATGAGACTCACATGCTATCAGTGCCAAAAGGGATTCAGCATTCATCTACCAGGGGTGTCCAACCTTTTGGTGTCTCTGGGCTCCATCGAAAGAAGGAGAGTTGGCTTGGGCCACACATTAAATACATTGTGACACATAGGAAAAAAAAATCTCATAATGTTTTAATTAATTTTACAGTTTTGTGTTGGGCCACAGGCTGGACACCCCTGATTCCAGACTATTGATGGCAGACCCAAGCCTAGAGAAGAGAGGGCGCTTGCCAGAAGGTCATAGCCACCTTAGTTGCTCTTTCCACAGAGGATCTTCCCCAGGAGGCAGCAGCCCCCTTACTGCCCTGTTCTGCACCTGCCATACCCCTTTTCTCTAACTCTTCTCCAGGTAAATTCTATCATGGCTTTGCAGGGGAGGGGGCAGCTAAGAGGGTGGTGAGGAAAGCGTGATCCTGTAATGGGGAAGGTGGGGTTTCACTCAGCCTCTCTTCACTCCCTGAACTCTCAACCCAAATTTTTATGCTCTTTCTAGCCACCTCTGGCAAATCTTGGGACACTAAAAGCTTATCATGCATTCCATCTCTCCTCTCCAACAAGTCCTGTCTGCTAAGGAAAGGATAGGGCCTTTGGGGGAGCTTCTTTCTTTTCTCCACTGAGGTGTGCTATTCTTGAATTAAGAGAGCCTTACAGCGCTGACCAGTGTGGCTCAGTCGGTTAGGGCATCATCCTGCACAGTGAAACGTTGACTGTTTGATTCCCAGTCAGGGCACATGCCCAGGTTTGGGTTCAGTCCCCAGATGGGGTGCATACAAGAGGCAACCGAATGCTTCTCTTTTGCATTGATGTTTGTCTCCCTCTTGTTCTCCCTCCCTTCCCCTCTTTCTAAAAAAATAAAATCTTTAAAAAAAATTTTTTTTAAAGATGGAGCCTTACAGTCCTGTGGTGCCAGATCTACTCAGCTTCTGATCCTTTCGCTTCTTTATCCCTTTACCCTCCAGCCCCACAGTCCAGTTGGCCAAGACAAAATTATCAAGTCAGAAGATTTACCCATTTCTCTTCCCAAGTGTTAAGTGCTTTCACATGGTTGAGTATCTTGCATCTAATAAATCAGTTTGTGATAAAGAATTCAATATTACCTCTTCTAGGAGAGTTAACATTTTTTAACAAGTAGCCTGCAGAGGGCAATGTTTAACCCTAGAGAGAGGCTCAAATGATGCATGGAGACAAGAAAATGATGACTGTTATTATCTTACTGTTTAAGTGACCACACCTTTCATTTATAGGCATGGACCACCTGACTTCACCTTCCACGCTGTGTAAGTAAGGAAGAACACAAAGGTTCAGATTTCAAGCAACGGGTCCCAAAACACACAACCTGAACAAAGGAAGAAGGGCAGACCAGCTGTGGGTGGGTGGCATCCACCAACCTCGCCCTTGCCTGCTTCAGCAGCACTCCATCAAGTGCTGCCTGCTTTATCGTGCCCCATCTCGTCTTCACACTCATCTAGGCCTAATATCACTGATGAGAAAATTGACTTAGTAGTAGTGCTAATGCCAGAGCCCAGCCTAGGTCTAGAACCCTCAGCTGAGGTGTCTCTCCTATTACTTCCAAGGGAAACTGCTGCATTTTCTAGAGTGTCCACTAGGGATTCTGATAGAAAAGAATGTTAAGCAGGAGATGGAAAGAATCAAAATCAAACAATCAGAAAATCAACCCAAACCTAGGACCCAAGCAGAATTAGGGATTAACAGAGAGCTCATTTTCTTCACTTGCTTCTCTCTTTAATTTGGTCCTCATAATGCGGGTGTCTCCTAGATTTGGCTCTGAGCTCTCTCCTTCTCTATTTCAACACTCTCCTTGGAGAGCACATTCATCTATCACTGCCACCCTGATGGCTTCTAAGTCAGCCAGCCCTGGTCCCTGCCCCAGCTGCAGCCCCGTGGCTCTGACTGATGAATCTCTGTGTGGGTGTCCCACCACCATTTCAAGTACAATCTGTCTAAAATCAAATCATTCTTCCATATACCCAATTTTTGCTTATGGTGACCATTATTTGATTCCCTAAACTCACTTAAATAACTGTTTCTGTGGGATTCACGTTTGACCCTCTTCCCCCACATCCAGTCTGTTGCTCACACCTATTGAATCTCATTGAAGTTCTTCAGGACCTTACCTACTTTCGTTCATGGCATATTGTTGTCTTTTATGTGTTGTAATTTTTATCTGGTATACTGATCTCCAGTGAGGGTTTACTTGGGCAGTAATACTCTGTGGCCTGGGTTGGGGGTATGTTTCTCCTGAGCAATTTTTTATTTGTTTGTGTCAAGGACTCCAAGCATATCAACTAATGGAGACCAATGTTTATGTTAATTTCTTGGCCTGACGTTCCTGTACCATGCAGGTGTGGAGTTCAAACTCGAATTCATGCGGTTATAAATTCTCAGAGGCAGCTCCTTCTACTCTAAGCAGAACCCAGGTCAGGACAGACAAGGAATTACGTGTATTCCTCCCTCCCCATACTTCCTGGGGCCACTCACCGCCCATCACATGCTCACATTCCTTGGTCTCGGCTTCTTTGTTTTGCTGCATGTAGATTTCCTTTCCTTTCTTGCAAGCTCTACTAAGCATTTCCAGTGTCTGTTATATTTTGTGAATCAGTCCACATATCATGTAGCAGGAGGGTTTGGAGGTTATCTCTTCAACAATATTGCTGAAAACTGAAGCCAGAAGGTGATGATTTCTCTATTAAAACATTTCCCACATTATCCACTCTGCGCCTATTGCCAACACCTAAGTCCGTGCTACCCTCCACATTCATGAACACGTTGGCTGTGACAATCACATAGAATCTCATACTAACAGGTAGTTCGGAGAAGCTTATCAGAACATCCTATCTGACCCCTCATTGTATAAAGGAGGAAACTGAGGCCCATCAGATATGGGGATTTTCTTAAGGGCACACAGATGCTAAGAGATACTAAGTGGGTCTTGAATCTGGACCTTCTAGTTCCACGACCAGTGCATACCCACATCCCACAAGTATTATTGAGTGCCAACCGTTTGCTGGGCCAGTTGCTCCCAACTTTTTTCCTTTCCAGTGCACCTCAGGAATTTGATACACACACATCAGTAACAAAGGCTCACGCAGAGTCCTGATTCTCACCCTGGAGAGACAGGGAAGAGGAATAAGAATCTTGAGGAGGTGGGATATGGGGGAAAGTTTGAAAAAGCAAATGAGAATGTCTTCTATTTCCTCCCCTTCCACTCCAACCCCTGCGCGCTGTTTGAAACAAGCCTGCACTATATCACATTTCTTCCTGTGGTCCCTCCGCCTCCTTTCTCTCTCCCTCCATTCCACATTGCACATCACTACTGCTGTAATTTCCTTAAAACATTATTCATGGTGTTTTATCCCAAACTGACCATAGCTTCCATCTTCCTATAAAAAAAATACACTGCATTTAAAACCTTCCATATCTGACCCAAATTCATCTTCTACCTTCCTCTGTCATCTCTCCCTTTGCTTTGCCCTCTCTCCTTCCCTCGTATATTATTGAAATCCTCCCACCCTCAAGCTCCTTCCAGGGCAGAGACCTTGTTTTATTCACACTGTGGCTGCCATTATCACCAAGCCTACTGTCTGGCACACTTAGATGCTTAATTATTGTGTGGACCCATGGGCAAAAGAGTGGAGATGGCTAACCACCTAAAAAAAAAGGAGAAGGGGTAAAGAGGAAGGAAGAAAGGTGGTTAGAGAGCATGAAGCAGGGAAAGGATGAGAAGGAGAGACGGGGAGAAGCAGGATTGAGGTCCTGAACCAAGCCATTGGGTCCCCTGAGTGGGACCACACCTCTGACTGTTCAATTCTTGCTGAGCCCATGATTCTCTGCCTTAGCTTTGGGCCCCCAGATGTGTTTGTCGTTCAGTTCTCTGTCTTTTGGTTTCACTGGCCCACATGGAGTGGGATTCAGTTTAACATTTTTAGAACTGTGGTTCCCATAACAACCAAGCAGGAACTGTTGTCTGAAATGTAGCATGGGCACACATGCTCACACACACATACCTGCACATATACAAACATATGCACACCCACACACATGTGCATTCACTCATACACACACACACACAATGTACATCCACATGTACATACATGCATGCCTTCGGACATGCACATGCTCGTAAAGGTATATACCTGCATGCACATGCATGCATGCACACATACACAAAAGCATGTATATATACACACAAGCATGCCCCAAATTGTTTTTGCATACAGAAAGCACAGAGTGAAGACAAACATACATCACTAGGACAGAGGTAACATCAAGGCAATATATGGGTATTTTTGGCTTTCTTTAAAAGCAGGTGGATTTAGGTAATCAGCATTTGGGCAGGAGAAGGCTCAGTAGGCTTAATACAGCAAAGGGGTGGCAGGAAGCCACTATATTTAAGCATAGACTTTGGAATTAAGTAACTTGAGGTCAAGTCCTGACTGTGTCATTTTTTGAGCTCTGAACTTAACTTCCCCACCTGTAAAGTGGGGATAATAATAATATCTGCTAGATAGGTTCATTAGGATGATTGAATGCATAAAAATGATTAATATGATGCTTACCACTTGGTTAATAGGAGCTGTTATCATTAGGTCTTAGGAGAAGTGATTTCTTATTTGTTCAAGCTAAGAAGATTTTCTGGAGGAGGGAAGAACTCAGGGACCAGGGGAAGGAAGAGGAGACATGCGGCAGGGGGGAGTTTGACCCATCTGGCCACCTTTCGGCCTCAGTCCTTACTAAATTTGCCTCTTCCCAAGAGCCACCTGACAAATCTAAAAATTATCGTTTCTGACACTAAATGCCCAATGCCTCTGCCTTAGCTGGAGTAAGATGGGGTCAAGGACAGTCCCAATCAGCCTTACCTATTAGAGAATCCTGGGGCTGTGCTGGATTTCTGCTCTGCTGTGGCTGAACTGCCCCTCATGGCCTTGGTGCTCAACCCTGCCCAAGCTGGTCTCTGTGCCTTTACCCCTTCACTACCCGTAGCCTGAAATGCCATCTCTCCTTCTCCTCATCCAAAGGTCAGCTTATCCCTGGGCTTGGTAGCCTCAATGCCCTGATTTCTCAGGCCCCACGCAGCGCTGTGGATTTCCTCCAAACCTAGGACAGCCAGACCGTTCATGCTGCAACACCTGGATAGGCAAGCCAAGAGCCAGGACTTCTCATCTACTAAATTCGAGGTGGAGGTGCGTGGGAAGGAACCCGGGCTGGTGGCCGCTGCTTCTTTCCTCCTTCTCCTCTAAGTCTGGGATAGGATTTGTGATGGAGACGTGTGCTCCTTGATGGCACCTTGAAGGGCAAGATTCTGAGTCACTCCCAGATCCCCTGGTTCCCTAGGGATGGCCAGTGGAAACCGACCAAGCAGCCTCCGCGAAGACCACGACCACGCTTTTGACTGAAAGTCGCCAAGTGCACAACCCAGGCGTGCAGCCTATTAGGCCGCTTAGGGACCGTGGCACGCATCCCAGTAGCAGTGCAGCACGCCTTTCCTCTTCCAATCCTTCAGAACCACCCACCACGGGATGTGCCCCGAGTGGGGAGGCCCAAGCCAGAGCGATGGGGTTAGGGTGGAGGGCTTCGGATCAAAGGTGGGCGGCAGAAGCTACAACCCCAGGTGCCCAGGACAGGGAGAGTGCACTGGGAGGTATGGGGAGCTGGGAAGGCAGCGCCTCAGGGCGAGCGCCGCCGGAGCGGTCCCTGAACCCCACGGCGGCGCCGCGGGCCCCTCCCCCATCTAAGCCACCTTCACAGAAAAACGTGGGGTCCCGGCGCAGCCGCTTCTGGCGGCATCTGCCGCTCCCCAGCTCGCAGGAGAGCCCGCCCCGGAGGAGGGGCCGGCTCCGCCCCACCTCCTCACTGCCTCCCTCCCCCTTCCCTTCTTTTCCTCCGGCCGCGCGCCCCCTCCTTCCTCGTCCATCCTTCCCCCACCCGGTTTGTGGGCCCCTCCCGCTGCGACTGGCTGGGAGGCTTGGCCGCCCCCGCCCCGAGAGGGAGGCGGGGGCGCCAGCCGCGGCAGCCACCCGAGGCTGCGGAGGGGAGCGAGATCCGAGGGCCCGAGGCGGCCCTGCATCTGGACCAGGCACGCGGGGCTGCCTGTGCATCCCCATCCGAGGGCCGCGGGGCCTGGCCTCGCGGCGGGGTGGAGGAGGTAAGGCGAGTCGCGGGCGCGCTGTGGGGCCACTCTTGGAGAGAAGGAGGCAGGGAGTACCCCAGCCGTTACCTCCTCCTCCTCTTCCTTCTCCCCTACAGCCCTCTGGAGGCCCGGAGACAGCCAGACCCGGCCGGGAGGGATTCTGGGCAGGCCTAGCCAGAGCCAAGGAAGGGGTTAATTTAAGGAATTAAAATCAGAACAATTTGAGACCAGGCTTCCCATCCCCCCCTCTCGCCAGTCCCTCCCCGAGCCTGGTTTGGGGGCGGGGCGGGCTCCCTACACCACTGGGACTCTGGACCTTGGAGAGCGGGGGGGCCAGAGGGAAGGAGGAGGGGGAGCACCCTCAAACCTCAGCCCTCCCCACCTGCCTCTGAACGGGGGTGGGGGAGGGGCTCGGTGTTGAGGCCTGGCTGGGCACCTGCGCGGGTATCTGAGGGTGGGAGGGTTTCGGTGTCTGTGTGCGTGCGGGTGTGCACGTGTGATGGTCTGAAGGTGTGCATGTGTGTGTCCCTGTGTTTCTGTGCCCTCACATCCCAGTGCTTTCGCTGGTGACTCTGCCCACAGTGATCTGGATGCCCGTGCCCCACTGCATTGCTTTGCATGTGTGTGTGTGTGATACGGACCTATGTGCACTTCCCACTTTCTACCTGTGAGTAGCAGTGGGGCCTGCCCTCTCTTTAGGTTGAGTGTGCAGCGAGGGGCCCAGATGGTTTTCTGGGTGTGGGATCCAGGTGCTGGAGCCATGTGTGTGTGACCTTGGGAGGTGTGTGCATGTTTGCAGGAGCTGGAGAATGAGGGGGAGCTTAGCACAGAAAAGGCAGTGTAAGGACTGCCAGGAGGCAGAGGCCTGGATGCATTGACTCGGGTGGGTCTTCACCAGGCTGCAGTGACTACGCTGAGAGGTACACATGGTGGGGCCACAGCCTGAGGTGAGGAGAGCTGAAGCCTCTGCCTTCTTGGGAGATTTAGAGGGATTTAGAGAGTCCGGAGGTCTTCCTTTATTCCCCATCCACAGGGACACCTCCAGCTGCCTCCCCAGCCTTAGAATACCTCTTCTATCTGCTAGCAGATGAAAAAACTGAGCTTAGAGCTTCATTTCTTTGGCTTATGAAGCCATGTATTAACATCCAAATCTTCCCCCCACCCCCCATTTCTGTAATTTCTACCTCCTCTGCTCCTTTCCTGCATGTGGGTTTTATGTGAAAAAGGAGGAAGAGCTGCGGGGCCCAGAAGGCCAAGCTGGAAGGAGAGGCGATGCCAGCAGCGGGGTGGGAAGTTGGGGGCAGGGAGAATAACCGGCACACTCCAAACTCTGCTAACTTCTCAATTTTGCCAGATCTTCATTTAACAGGGAAAGGGACAGAGAGAGGGAGTTTGGTGATAGCCACATACTTGTTTCTAGATTTAGGGATGCCCAGCTTGCTTTTGTTTTCGGAATATTTGTAGCAGGAAGGGGGATCATGGTCCCTGAAAGGTTATTGCCATGCTGCCTTTGAATTCCCTGGACTTTCGCACCATCTGGGCGCATACCACACCCTTTACTTATTCATTCAAAAAATATTTGTTGAGTGCTACTGTGGGCCAACCTGTGACTATAATAGGGTTGGTGTGACATTCCACTCCCAAACAGAAGGATCAAAGTGTCAGGACATTAAGAACATGGGTTTCAAAGTCAGTCAGGTAGTACTGGGTTCAAATCCTAGCTTGTCATTGTTTCAGTTTTTCACTGGTATGTAACAAACCTTCCCAGAATATAGGGCTTAAAACAACAGTAATTTATTATTTTTCATGATCTGTGGGTTCACTGTGACTGTGGGCTTACTTGGTACCCTTCAGCTACATTCAGTTAAGAGACTGGCTGCAAAGGAATATCAAGATGGCCTTTCATCCATTGGGGTCTCTCTACACATGGCATCTAATCATTCAGTAGTCTAGCCCAAGTTCTTTACATGGCACCTTTATCCCAAGAGGAAATATTCTCAGAGGATAAGCCCTAAGGTACAACTACTTGTCAAACCTCTGCCTGCTTCAGGTTTTTTAATGTCCTATTGGTCAAAGTAGGTCATGTGGCCAAGCTCTGAGTTAGTGTGGGAGGGGATCACGTAAGTGCAAGAATACTAGGAGGCAGGACTCATTGGGAGCCACCAAAGCAACAGTTTGTTATGGTCACTTATGGGCATTGGGCAAGTGATATGGCCACTCTGAGCCTCAATTTTCTCTGCCTACAGTAGAGATGTTACCACCTACTTGGCAGCACAGTCTTGAGGACTAAATGAGAAGTATGAGGTTTAACCAGAATAATTAGTAGGTAAAAGTTCACTCTTTGCTTCTTTTTTTAAATCCTTACCTGAAGATATGTTTATTGATTTTAGAGAGAGAGAAAGGCAGGATAAAAGAGAGACAGAGAGAGAGAAACATCGATCAGTTGCCTCCAGTACCTGCCCTGACCCAGGATCAAACCCACAACCTAGATACGAGTATGTGCCCTGATGGAGGGACTGAATCCACGACCTTTTGGTGCATGGGATGATGCTCCAGTCGACTGAGCCACCCGGCCAGGGCAATGGGCACTGTTTGATTATTAGACTGCAAGCACTGTGAAGACATGACTGACTTATTCATCTTTGTGTCCCCAGTGCCTGGCACAGGCCTTGTGTTTGACATCTTTTTGTTGAGTGGATAAAATAGAATGAAGCAGACAAGTCCTAAGCGTTGGAACTCTGCTAGAGCAACAATGTCGTGAAGACACAGCAAGTCTTTATCTCCTAGTGGGCGAGGAGCAGAGCCAGGGAAGCACTTGTTACTGGAGGTAATTCTTGGATTGATTTAATCGTAACCAAATTCATCGAGTTCCATGAGAATAAATAGTAGAAATCACTTTGGTTACATAAATCAATCAATTCACCCATTATTCAGTGTGGTTCCTTTAAGAATATACTAATTTCTACTGTATGTGAGGCAGGTGTGAGTCAGTAGCCTTGTCCCTGCCCTTCAATGTATGTGTAGGGTGGGACCTGATGTGCAAAGGTTCATGACCATCCAGCATGTCATGCCCGTTACAATATGTGAAGAGCTGTGATGAGGAACGATTCATGCTGTGTGGGGATTTGAGCTGGGGGGGGCGGTGGCGGGGTCAAGGAAGGTTTCATGGAAAGAGTAGCGTTAGAGATGGGCCTGCAGAATGCATTAGCTGAAGAAGGGAGTCCTAGAAAGAGGGACCAGCATGAGCCAAGACTTGAGGATGTGGCAGCATATGGCACTTCTCAGTGAAGCTAAGCCTCATAAGGCTCACTAAGGATGCAGGTGGGAAGCAGAGGCAAAAGCAAGGGCTGGCAAGACAGAGTGGTGGCCAGATTTCAGCCAGCCTTAGGGGGACGCAAAGCAGGGTGGGCTTCACCTTTCAGAAGATGGCCTTCAGAGATTTTTTTTTTTTCCTTAAGAAAAGTGACATGACTGGATCTCTATTTGCAGAATCATGAGACTTCAAAGCTGACAGAGTTAGAGACTTCAGTTAGAAACAGTATCAATGGTCCAGATAGAAGGATAGTAGGTCTCGAGCCGTGGCCACAGACAAAGCAAGACATAGAGTCAAGTATTTATTTATTTTTATTTTTAAAAAGGTTTTATTTATTTATTCTTGGAGGAAGGGGAAGGGAGGGAGGAAAAGTGGGAGAGAAATATCGATGTAAGAGGGAAACATCCATCTGTTGCCTCTTGTAGGCATCCCCCATCAGGGGGACCTAACCCGCGACCCAGGCATGTGCCTTGACCGGGAATCCAATCAGCGACCTTTCGCTTTGTGGGATGATGCCCAACCAACTGAACCACACTGGTCAGTTCTTTATAAGATAGTATTGACAAAAATCAGCAATTGATGAGATCTGAGGGGGGACTTAAAGAATTCAGAGATGCCTTAAGAGTTGCCTCCAGAGTGCTGAGTAGATAATGAAGATGCTGGTCAAGATGGGAAACATGAGAAAGAAGTAGGTTTGATGGTGAGTGTTGTGGCATTGTGAATTCCTTATTAGCACATTACACTGAAATATCCTTTATATCTGCTCCCTCTCTATGTGCTGTTTTTAAGAAGCCCTTAAAAAAATTGCTATAAATTTCAGGTCTAAGGCATTGAATTATTGGCACCTCAGGCTCACGCAAGTGATGATACGGTTGGAATTTGGCTATTGCTAAGAAGCCTTAAATATGTTCAGGTGTCTCTCATCTTAACTACTGCTTCTGCATTCTCCTGTGCTGCCTCCCCGCCTTCACCGTTGAATTTCTTGTGTCCACTCGCTGTCTTTACTCACCTCTTCACCTCACTCTCTCCTCAGCCCCCATCAGCCAGGCTCATCAGAGCAGCCCTCTGTAAGGTCACCAGCAGACCCTTCCCACCTCTGCTCTGACTTGAGCTGTCAACTCCTGCTGTTTACACTGTTTTCACACAATTGCCTGCTCCTTCCTTCCTTGACATCCTCTCCTCTCTAAGACTTCCTGCCAGCTTTCCCATTTCCGCTGCTGCTGCTTAGGAACTTCTGACTTCTCCCTTCTCTGTCTCTCTCAGCGTCTACCTTTTCCCCCGTATCTCCTCCCTCTGCACCTTCTCCCTGGTCCTGCTCATCCGCCTTTGTTTCTATGCACAAATTGCCAAAACTGTGTTTTCAGCTCCATATTGCAAACTACTGAATATCACTAATTCCAAGGCCCACTGGAACCCCGAACTCATGGAATCTACAATCAAACTCATTATCACCCCCCAAAATCCCTTGAACCACACCCCATGTATCTAGCTCAAAGCCCAAGCCTATTCCTGATCCTTTGACCCTTTCCTTTCATAATGTGCACCGTCATTCTGCCACTAAGCCTTCTTGACTGTCCTTCCTTAATCGCTTCTATAGCCATCCTTCTCCCCGCTTGCACTCCTGCTACCTTGGCTAACAATGTCCATTTCCAGTGTCCCAACAGCCTTCTTCCTGACCTTGGCCCTCTGCAGTCCATTCTCTAAACTGTCCCTCTGATTAAAACCTTGTGATTCCATCATTCCACAACCACCCTGAGCACCTCCCCCATGCCAGGCACTGTCGTAAGAGCTGGGGAAGTAGCAGTAATTGAGACAGTCGTTCTACCCTCTGAAGCTTACATTTTCTTTCCCTGAAGGAGGGAGGCATATCCTTTTTCACTTCCTTGCCTTTGTACATGCTGTCTCTGCTGCTCAGGATGCCTTTCTCCCCCTCCCCAAACTCCTAACTGCCACTCTTCACCCAGCTACTTTCTTCTGCAAGAGTCAGTCTAGATGAAATCGCCCCTGGGGGTTCCTCAGGCTAAGTTAAGCGTAGGTTCCTGTGCCAGCCATTTATCTCATGGCCGTGTCATCTAATACCTTAGTCTGTCCCAGGAGATCACAAGCTGCTTGAAGGCAAGGACTGGATCTTGTCAGTCTGTGTCCGCAACATACCTAGCACACCTGGCGTAGTTTATGGTACAGCACAGGTACTCAGTAAGTGTACGTTGAATGAATCCATGTTTGAGTAGAGCTTAAAAGAGCATGCTAAGTTAGAAATAAAGATTTGCAGGAATATCAGGACTTTCAATAGCAAATGACAGAACTTCAACTCGGACTATTTTAAGCAAAAAAAAAAGAGATAGGTGCTAATTCATATAATGGAGAAGAAGGGAGATGAATGGGTCTTGGTCATAACTGCACCCAGGTTCTCAAAAATGTAGTGAGGGCTCTCTCTCCATCCCTTAGCTCAGCTTCACTCTGAGTGTTGGCGCATTTCTCCCCACCACACATGATTTGTCTCCCTGTGGTGGGTGGAGTTTTCACAAGGCCATAGACAGCTTTATCATCCTAGCATGTGATCCGGAGGGACAAGGGGACTCCTTAATCTTTCATATAAATTCCCAGTGAAGGACTCTGTTGGCTTAGCCTGAGGAATATGCCCATTCCTGGGGTTAATCATTATGGCTAACAGGATGGGGGTACTATGACTGGTCAGGCCTGGGTCACATGTCCACCCTACTAGGATTGGCGGCCCTGTCAGAACCACATGGAGTGGGGAGCGGTAGCTCACCAAAGAAAGGACAAGATGTTGCTGAGCAGATAAAAATAATGTTCCCTGCAAGAATTCTCAGTGACCACAGTGTAGTGGAAGCCATGATTATGTAAGGCTATTTGTGTTTCCGGCAGAGTCAACATGTGAGAACGTGACAGTAGACAGGAGCCAGAGAAGACACACTTCTTAAGATCGTTGGCCTTATTTGAGGAGATGAGGCTCACATACCTGAAAGCCTTAAAAAAAAAAAAAAGAAGAAGAAGAAGAAGAAGATTATGCCTCTGATTGGTTCTTCTGCCCAGAGAAAACCTTGAATGGGACATAAATAAAAGTAGACTTGAGGTAGGCCTCTCAGATGGGGAAGGAGCAGAACAGGTCCTGGGGATGCTGAGGAGGCAGAGCTGGGCTGAAAAGGGAGGCCAGTTCTTAGGGCTGCAGGGCTGCTGATTTGGGGAGATTAGAAGACAAAGGAAAATTTATCTCTGGCTGTTCTGTCCTGGTGCTCATAGGACAGGATTGTGATAGAGTTTGAGTAAACAACACTTCTATTTTTCTTTTACTTCCTTTCCCTTCTTCCCCTGCCTCCATCACCCTTGCCTGAATTCAGGTGAAACTTGATGCTCATGCTGAGGAGGTAGTACATCTAGGCAAAAGTATTCCTGGGAATCATTCATAGTCACTCCTCAGCTCCAGCAGATGGAGGGGAACCCTGGGGTGGGGGGGAGGCTGGCCTCAGCTGAAGAGCCATGTGGACCCTAGAAGCCCCTTCCTTCCTCTGCCTTGCACATCCACACACAGGCCTGCACTCCCAGACTTTCACTTCCCCTATCCTAGCAGGACTCTGTGCAGGCAGCACACGGGGAAGGGAGGCAGGCTGACCACTTTAGAAGCCCCTAAAGATGCCTCCACAGGCGGGACCAGCACTGAGCTGGGATGAGCAGGCACATGAGGGTGTCCTGACACCATGCTGACCATAAGTGCAGAATAACTCTGTTCCTGGACAGTTGTATATGTGAGCTGAATTCTATTTATAATATCCATGGTCACTTTGTCAACTTCTTCAGTTTTATCTATAGTTATTCAGGTTTTTTATTTCTTCTTGAGTCAATTTTGTTCATTTTCCAAGGAAAGTGTTCAGTTCATCCAGATTTTCAAAAATTTGGGCCAGGAGTTGTGCCTGATAGCAGTTCAGTAATTTGAACAAACCATCTCTGTCAGTTATATCCCTTTTCTCAGTATAGTGTTACTTGTTTTCTTTCTGTTTTTTCTCTTTGAATAGATTTACCCGAGGGCTATTAATTTTGTTGGTCTTTTCAGGGAAATATCTTTTGTATTTACCTTTCGAGACTACTTTTGGGGTTTTAATATAGCTAAAGGAAGACGATGTTAGAACAATTACTAAATATTATTTTAAAAAATTAAGTCCTGTGTTATACAGGGTGAGGTATTTTGGGGTCAAGAAATATGATATTTAGGGTTCTCTCAAAATTATCCAGTGGTGGGTGGGGCAAGTGTGAAGCAGGGCAGAGGTGAACACGTGAAACAAACTCGGCCATGAGTTAAAAACAGTTGGAGCTGGAAGACAGGTACATAGGAATTCATCATCACATTCCCTTTTTTTAATATGTATGAAAATGTCCATAACAAAAAGTTGGGTATTTTAGATTCTTGACTCACTACACATACCAAACATTGTTAGATGGATTAAAACTCCAGTGTCTAAAAGGTTACACAGCCTGAAGTATTTGCATGCTAGCAAGTCATTGTAAGTTCGTTGTTTTAAGATTATTTTTAAAGCCCTTAATTAATAATTTTTTTCTGTACTTTTACCAAAAGGAATCATAAGTACTAAAAGAAAACATGTGTAACTTTATTTTTTTAAGATTTCATTTATTTACTTTGTAGGGAGAGGGGAAGGGAGGGAGAAAGAGAGGGAGAGAAACATTGATGCTTCTCTTATGACCCCAACCAGGGACCTGGCCTGCAACCCAGGCATGTGCTCTGACCAGGAATCAAACTGGCAATCTTTCGGTTTGCAGGCTGGTGCTCAATCCACTGAGCCACACCAGCTAGAGCCATATGTAACTTCATATATAAACTTTGGGTAGGGATGGACCTTCTAAGCATGACAATAAAATCAGAAATCATATTTTACTGAAACAAACTTGAAACGTTAGTATATCCATAAAGACCATACATAAAAGTAAAAGCCAATCAACACACTTGAGAAAAATATTGGTAGTATATAAATGACAAAGGATCAATATTATTAAAAGCCTTGGCAAATCAATAAGAAAATATGAATGTTCAGTATAAAAATAAGCAAAGTAGTGCATAGGCAAGTCACCAAGTGATACAGATAACTGATAAATGTGTGAAAGAAAATGTCCAGCCATAGTAATCCAAGAAATGCAAGTGAAACAACCAGGCTATTTTTCATGTTCAAATTGGCAGGAGTACAGTGAGTCCAAAGTGTGAAGCTGAGGAGTTTGGCTGCAGTTAATAGATGATGGGCAGCCTTTGAAAGAGCACGAGCCGGAATCATTTGTAGACAGAGGGATCTGGTGCCTAATACAGGACGGAGCAGAGCTGCGAGACTGAAGGCTGGGCCAGCAGCCCAGGTGTGAGGAGGCAGAGGCCCAGGGAAGCACGAGGCATGAAAACAATTGGAATGAAAAATCAGCAGGTCTTGATGGTTAGCAGAGAGAGCAAGATCATGATGGCCGGGGGGTGTGTTGTGACTGGGAGGACAGTGGCGCTGTTGAAGGAAATAGGGATGCAGTGAAGTGGGCGAGAGGAAGTCCAAGGTTTGGGGTTTTTTAGGGTTTGTTTTTTTTAACACTGGGGGTAATTGTGTTAGTCTAGAGTCTCTTTACTAGTGACTGGCAACCGACTCAAATGATTTAAGCTGCAAAAAGAATTTCCTGTCTCTCACAATAGACAAGCTTTGGGTTAAAGTTTCAGGCACGTCAGGATCTGGATGCTCAAGGGATGTCATCAGAAGTCTTTGTTTTTTTTCCTTCTTGTCCAAAGAGAGGACTGAAATGGCTACAAGCAGATCCAGGCTTATGGTTTACCAGCTGAGCACAGGTGCTTGAGAGGCTGAATTGACCTGTTACTGAATGATTGCTGTGACTGATGAGCAGGCTGAGGTCTCATGTGCTCACCTGGAGTTAGAAGGTGGGATCAGCCTTACCTGAACAACCATTCAAAGTTGGGGGAATGGTTCTCTAAGGGAAAATTGGGGGTCTATCCACAAAGAGAAACTGGAACTGAGCAGCAGAAAAAAATACATGTCCCCTACATTCCACCTTTTGGCTGTCTAAGATCTATTTTTTTTAAAAATGTGTTTATCATAGTGCAACTATCCCTCACAGAACTTAAAACACACAGTCCTCACTCTGGAAGGAGATGTTCCAAGTTCTCACCCAGTTACCACATCCAGCCACCCTTCAGGATCTTGTTGGTGGGCTGTCTGGCAAGGTGCTGAGCTATCCCCTCATGATCTTTTGGTGTAGACCAGACTACAATGAGGGAGGAAAAATCGAATAGCTGAAAGAACAAACACCCTCCCTGTTGAGGAGAGGAAATGAGGAAAAGTACTCAGCAGTCACAAGTCTGAAGCATGCCACACATGCTCTGCCAGTTGGCAAGGACGAGGTTCCCTGGCCTTTCATTGGTTGTTTTGGTTCTGTTATTTCAGACAGTCACCCTTGTCCTTTGTGCTCTGAGGCCACTGAGGCACCCTGAGGAGTCCCCACCCATTGGTACGGATATGGTGGGCGGGCAACTATAGGAGCTAATATTCCCTGGCCTTTGTTTTCCAAGTTTGTGGTGCGGTTTTTTTCCTGGCAATACAATTCCCTTAATCATTAGGAAGCTTTCAGTCAATTTGCTTTCAGTCATCCCCAGAGCTATTAACCAAACTAGAGACCTCACTGGAAGTTATAATTCTTGAATGGAGTCCCTGGTGATGGTGTTGGGGAAGGAGGAGGGGTTGTCTCTTAGCAACAGGCCTTGGTGCTCTGCACATCTCAGGAGCCCATGGTTCTGTGGCCTCTAGCTAGGCCTCTGCCATAGGGCAATTCAAATCCCTACCCTAGGGTGGGAAGCACTGTGCCTTTGCCCCTTCCCACTCCAGCTGCATCCCAGTGGGAGGCTGTTTATAATGAAAGCACTGGTTGCCTCTGTTGAGCTGGCAGGGCACAGCAGGAAGGGTTCAGGAGGGCCTGGGGAGTTAAGAGCCCATCGGGCCCCAGGTTTGTCTCCCTCTGTGTTCCCTGCCTCCCTGTCTTTGCTTGAGCTGACTTTAGCTAGAAGCAGAGAACCGACTCTTAATTATCTGACTCTCAGCCATATTGGATTACTGGCCTCAGGCAGAAAGAGCCTCTCTGGGCACAGCAGCGTTTTCTCCTTCTCTGCTTTCAGATGGACCCCTTGCAGCTAGAGTGTGTCTCTTTCTTATTGGACCTTACTGAGGTCACACCCCAACACTGTGACATTTTTGTACAAGCCTCCTCAAGTTCCAGCCTTGGTGGGAGCATCGTCTGAGCTTCAGAGGCAGTGGGAGAGCTTAGTCAGCTGCCTTGCCGCTCTGAAGCAGGGTTCACCAACTTCTGAGTGGGTGGAGCGGTACTCTTACTTCTCTCCTTAGTTCAGCCTATTCCTTCTTAGGGTCTATTACATTAAAAAATTCCATTCCTGATTCTAATTTCTGGTTTAGGACTTTTCCCTGGTGCAAGTCACACAGACCCACGTCCAACTGGCTTAAGCTAAAAAGGGAATTGATTGGCTCACGGAATTGAACAGACCAGCATCTCCAACAGTGTTGGGGAGGCATCTCTCTTTCTCCTTCTCAGTCCTGCTTCTTTGTGTTGGCTTCATTCTCAGGTGGTTCCTCCCAAAGATGACCCCCGAAGCCCTGGCCCTCCCCACCAGCTTATAAACCTGAGCCCAAAGAGGATGCTTTCCCCCAGTAGTTCCAGAGAAGTCCTGGAGAAATAACTCAGTAACTCAATGAGAAAAGACTCATTGATTCAACTTGGGCGATGTGTGCCCAGCCCAATCCTCTGATCGACCAGGCCTATATCACATTCTTACCCCTGAAACCTGGGGTGGACCCTCAACCCCCACCCAGACCACATGGACTGAGAAGAATGGTTCCCCAGGGTCAAAGCAGGGTGCTGTTCTCAGGAGGAGGACTGGGTGCTGGGCCACAAAGGAACAGACATCACACACCCACACTTCCATGTGGAAATGCCAAAGCAAATGGAACTCAAGGGCAGGTCAGGATGGAGAGGCAGAGCTGAGACTTAATAGATTTAAGGTGCGAGCTAACCCAGGGGAGTGAATCAGACTGCCTGCGGAGAAGCTAGAAGCAAAGGGCGTGTGAAGGCCTCCCATCAGGAGACAGGACGATTAGGAAAACAGCAAGAAGAGGACGTCAGAGAACTCAAACTGGGCACCTTAATGGCAGCCTATGAAGACTGAGGGGTCAGGAGTATTAGCCCAGGGACCAAGTGGGTGAAGACCGCTGATGCCAACTGAATTGTCTGACTGGCAGGTGGCCTGTGATCTGGTGGAGCACGCTGACAGCAGAGGTGGCTGAGGCCTGATTGCAGGCCGCTAGGAAGAGGATGACAGTGAGGAATGGGATAGAGACCCCGCAAGGCAGGGGAGGGGTGGCCAGAAGCCAGAGATGATGGAGGATGGACAGTGGGAGTGAGGGTGACCAGGGGTGGGATTTCAGGAAGGTTGGTGGCTTGTGCCAGAAGGGGCCTGAGGAGGACAAATAGAGTGGCCCTTGGAGCAAAGGGCAGGACAGGGCCACATATTGGACACCAACCTGGCAAAGAAATCTGAGAAAAGCACCTCTGTGCCTGGAGTGGCAGGGATAGGCACTCGAGAAGCAGGGGCAGGAACAAACAGTGAAACACACAGAGGTATTATCAGGTGAGGCTACATCTTGGTCATTACAACACGGTACCAATGGTCCAGCCTGTTTTATGGGTATGGTTTGCATGGCATGGAAAGAAGCATCTTCTTTTAAGGATATATTTTTTTGGAGATGTAACATGAGTACAGTCAAGTATATATAGTACACTAATCTTAAGCGTACAGCTTGACTATCTCTATATGTATCTACCTGTGTCACACATGTTTCCCTCCCGCCTCTTCCGGTCCATAGAGCCACCCAGGGGTAACCTCTACTCTAACTTCGTCATCTTCGATTTAGTCATTCTTAGACTCCACATATATAGAATCCTACAGTTGGCACTCTGATTTGGCTTCTTTCAATGTAACATAACACTTTTTTTTTTAAGATGTTATTTATTTATTTTTAGAGAGAGGGGAAGGAAAGGAGACAGAGGGAGAGAAACACTGTTGTGTGAGAAGGAAAGAGTTGCCTCTCATACTTCCCCAACCAGGGACCTGGCCCACAACCCAGGCATATGCCCTGACTGGGAATCAAATCGGCAGTTCGCAGGCTGGTGCTCCATCCACTGAGCCACACCAGCCAGGGCTCACGTAACAACATGGAATGGATTTATCCACATTGTCGCATGTACCAATGGTTCCTTTTTATTGCTGGGTGATACTCCATTATGATTATACCAGTTTATTGATTCTACTGGTGATGGGCACTTGGGTTATGTCCAGTAACTATTATAAATAAAGCAGATGCCTTTTTTTTTTTTTCTTAAAGAATTCTCACATTTTTACCCTCATACAGGTACAGGCCTTCGCACAGGTTCCAGTGCGGGCAGGCCAACGCCCTATGGGAGATCGGCCCTGGGTCTCCCCTCGGCCCTCTTCTATGGGCACCTGTTTTCCGGGGAACATAGCTTCCTCAAGGGTGTGAAGAGGGGGAACAGAGACAACCCCTCCTAAGACTTACTCCCTTTCTTCTAGCCTCCTCGCCCCTGGCTGCGGGTCCCTGAGCCTTCCTGATCCCGTAGGGGGGCTCGCCCGCGGCCCCCCATGAGTGCGCCCGGTTGATCAGCGGGGCGGCCGCGGTGGAGCCCGGACGCCGCGGGGGCGGCGGGGCCATGGCCTCGCTCGACCTGCCATACCGCTGCCCCCGCTGCGGGGAGCACAAGCGCTTCCGGAGCCTGTCGTCGCTACGAGCGCACCTGGAGTACAGCCACACGTACGAGACACTCTACATCCTCTCCAAGACCAACAGCATCTGTGACGGTGCAGCTGCTGCGGCCGCGGCAGCCGCGGCTTCTGGCTTCCCGCTGGCGCCGGAGCCTGCAGCCCTGCTGGCGGTGCCCGGAGCCCGGCGCGAGGTCTTCGAGAGCACGTCCTTCCAGGGCAAGGAGCAGGCGGCTGGGCCATCGCCCGCCACGCCCCACCTGCTGCACCACCACCACCACCACGCGCCCCTCGCCCACTTCCCCGGCGACCTGGTGCCCGCCAGCCTGCCCTGCGAGGAGCTGGCGGAGCCTGGCCTCGTGCCCGCAGCCGCCGCGCGCTATGCACTGCGCGAGATTGAGATCCCGCTGGGGGAGCTGTTCGCCCGCAAGTCGGTGGCCTCCTCGGCGTGCTCGACGCCGCCGCCCGGCCCCGGCCCCGGCCCTTGTCCCGGGCCCACCTCCGCCTCGCCCGCTTCACCGTCGCCTGCCGACGTGGCTTATGAGGAGGGCCTGGCCCGCCTCAAGATCCGCGCACTGGAGAAGCTGGAGGTGGACCGGCGGCTGGAGAGGCTGAGTGAGGAGGTGGAGCAGAAGATCGCAGGGCAGGTGGGCCGGCTGCAGGCCGAGCTGGAACGCAAGGCTGCGGAGTTGGAGACTGCCAGGCAGGAGAGCGCCCGGCTGGGGCGCGAGAAGGAGGAGCTGGAGGAGCGTGCTTCTGAGCTCTCGCGCCAGGTGGACGTGAGTGTGGAACTGCTGGCCTCTCTCAAGCAGGACCTGGTGCACAAGGAACAGGAGCTGAGCCGCAAGCAGCAGTGAGTGGCCCGCAGGGCCCTGTGGGTGAAGTGCCCGCGAATGTTCCAGAGTGGGTGACCGTGTGTGTCACTGTGCCACTGCCACCACCTTAAGTGTGGCTATGAGTGTGTATGTGGCCGTGGCTTATGGGATCTGTGGCCATGAGCACGTAATGGTGATGCATGTGGGGCCAAGAGTGTCATGACAATGTGTGTTTAGGACTGTCAGTCCATGGCAGTGTGACCGTGTGCCTGTCTGTGAAGACTGTTTCTCTTCCTTCTCTATTCTCCTAGCCAAGGCCAGCTCCCACATATGACGCTGGGTCCTCTTCCCTTTTGCGCACTCAACTCTCCCCTCTCTCTCTGCCCTTACCAGATTTTCCGTTCCTAATAGCAGACAAACATAATCTCTCATCTGCCACACCCTGCCTCCCCCTTGAGCTGCCCCTTTTCTCTCCTTGCAGAACAACTCTTTAAAATATTGTTTATCATTGTCTCCAATTTCTTTCCCCACCTTCTCCCCTGAACCCATTCTGATCAGGTGTCCACCTCCTCCACCGCCCTCCATGTCACCAACGACCTTTGCAGTGCCAAGGCCAAGCCATCATCATACCTGGCCTGGCAGCAGCATTTGACACAGCTGATCTTGAAACATTTCTCCCCTTGGCTTCCAGAACACTTTCCTGGGATCTCCTTATAGCGCTTTGGCTGTTCCTTCTTCGTCTTTGCTGGCTTCTCCTTATTTCTCTGGTCTTTAAGTGTAGAATTATAGAATTATGTAGATGTTATTTATCTCTCTCTCCCTAGTGAGATAAGCTTCATGGGGACAGGAATTTTTCTGTTTTGTTCACTGCTGTGTCCCCTATACCTAGAACAGTGCCTGGAACCGAGAAGGTGCTCAGTCAATGCTGAGTGGATGCATGAACAACTCTCAGTACATTTGGGAGTAAACACTCCTATGACCCTTAAGTGTGCTGTGGGTACGTGCAGCTCCTGGAAGGTGGCGATGCAACTGGAAGTATAGTTCTGCATCTGAGAATGTTTCTGAAAATGTGTGTGATATGTGCGTGTTGGGGAGGAGGGTCTGTGTTGGTAGGACTGCGCCTGTCTTAGACTATGTGTGCCTGCGAATGAACATGATATGAGTGTACACATTTGAGTGTGGGGCTCTGTATTGGACTTGGCGTACTTGGCTGTGTGACTGTGCGTGCCTGTGAGTGTGTCTGGAGGCAGGAGGTGACTGTGTGTGACTGAATATGCCTATGAGGATAGCCATAAGGAGCATGTGTGTCTAGTTGTGTGTGTGGGGCTGGATGGGTGAGGTGTGAGTGTGTGACTCAGAGTACATGCTGGCATTTCTATGTGTGCCTTTGTGTGGGATGGCGTGCCTGGGTCTGTGTTCTGTGTGTACCCATGCGGCCGTGAGCAGACACTGTGGGCTTCTGTGCCCATGTCCCTCCCCACTGGCCAGGGCCTCCTCCAGAGGGTGGGTGAACAGCCAGGCTGAGGCACTGGGGTAAGAGACTGCTCCGGGCCCAGGGAGGTGGTGCAGATCGACCAGTTCCTGAAGGAGACGGCGGCACGGGAGGCCAGCGCCAAGCTGCGGCTGCAGCAGTTCATCGAGGAGCTCCTGGAGCGGGCGGACCGCGCCGAACGGCAGCTGCAGGTCATCAGCAGCAGCTGTGGCAGCACGCCAAGTGCCAGCCTGGGCCGTGGAGCTGGGGGGAATAACGCTGGACCTGCGCCCCGGGGCCCAGGCCGAATGGTGAGCGCCCGCCTGCCCTCCGTCCTCTACCCTCACGCTTGGCTTGCACAAACTCCCCTTACGTGTGGCCTGACATTCCCCTGCAATGCTCCCTTTGGCTCTTGCCCATGAGCATACACTAGGCCTGAAGTAGGACGTCCAGGAACAGGAGAGCCCCTCTGAAATGGCAGAAGTGCAGGCGCTTGAGGCTATAGTGAGGTGTGATTCAGAGGCCCATCCCTGCAAACGAGAGCCGAGGGGGCCACGTGCTGGGTCTGGGGTGCTGGGTGGGTGTGTGGAAGGGGCTGGTGAGCCTGCATCTCTGGGCTGTCTGTCTATTTATCCACCTTTCCCAACTGTTTTTCCTTCTTCTCTCTCCTCTTCTCTCCATCTTGCACCCTGTTTTACCTGCTCCCTCTCATCCTCTTGTTTCCTCCGCCCACCTTTCCTTCCCTCCTGCTCTGGGGTCCCACAGCGAGAGCACCACGTGGGCCTGGCCATGCCTAGCACATATGCAGTGTCCCGGCATGGCTCCTCTCCCAGCACAGGGTAAGCCGCGCGCCCGGCCCGCCCCACACAGCCTGCCCTCACCCGGGAACAATCCACTGGCCCACTGGATGGCTGGCCTGTCTGGAGGCTTGGCCCCCCTCTCCCCATCCTCCTTGGGTCACCTCTGCCTGTCTGCCTTTCCACAGTCAGAGGGGGCTCTTGGGAAGTAGGGTGGGTGGGTCGCCCTTGGCGGTGGTAGGGGTGGAATGGGGAGTTTGGACAGGCATGGTGCCCCCCGCTTCTCACCCCTTCCCCTTTGGTCCACCCCACCCCAGGGCCTCCAGCCGTGTCCCAGCTGCATCCCAGAGCTCAGGCTGCTATGACAGTGACAGTCTGGAGTTGCCCCGACCAGAAGAGGGGGTCCCTGAGGACAGTGGGCCAGGAGGCTTGGGCACAAGGACCCAGGCTGCTAACGGTGGCTCAGAGCGCGCTCAGGCCCCTCGGAGCTCAGGCCTGCGGCGCCAGGCCATTCAAAACTGGCAGCGCAGACCCCGCCGACACAGCACAGAAGGGGAGGAGGGTGACGTTTCGGATGTGGGCTCCCGAACCACCGAGTCAGAGGCTGAGGGCCCCTCGGACGTCCCCCACCCTGGGCCTGCTATGGCTGGGCCACTGAGCAGCTGCCGGCTCTCAGGTGAGTCCTAGGGGGGTGAGCAGAGAGGCCAGGCTTTCCCAGGCACAGGCCCTCTCAGAAGACAGAGGGCGGAGGCAGCACCCCTCCAGGCTCCTGCGCCACCTTCCCCTTGCCCCAGACCCCCGACGATGAGAATGACAAATGCCCACACAGTTCCCTGCACGCCCAGGACAGGAAATTGTGTGGCAGGGCAGTGATGGTTTTGCACAAGGATGCCACATCTAAGGGGGTCCATGTACGTGGTAGGGTCATGGACACTTACAGGAGGGTAGCTGAGTGTTGACTCCGGACTCTGAGGCCCCTGGAGCAGTTGGGGAGGGCGTCCCCCCACATTACAAACAGGGCTGTGCACATATGTGGATGGGTTGGGGTCAGGGGGTGAGAGGGTTCCTGTCAGGGCCTATGGCCACACCCCTCTGGCTGCTTCGGGCAGCCCCTCACCTGCCTTCTGTTCACAGAGGCTCCATTGCTATCGGTCCGTAGTGTGGCCCTCCAGACCCTTTTCTTCTCTAATCTTGACTCAGTTGCCTCATCAAGGGGATGAGTTTAGACTATGTGATGATATGTTATGTTAAAAAGAATGTACTTGAGGACAGGGTACCCTTTGTTTTTGCAAAATTAGGGATGAGGATGATGCAGAGGAGGGGAAAGCAGAGGCCCCTTGTCCTCCCTCCCAAGGCGCCGGTCCCCCGGCATGGGTCTCATGCCCATTCGTCCTGTAGCTCCTAACCTCCCCTAGCTCCCCACCCACATCCCCATGCTGGCCTTTGACCCTCCACACTCACCTTTGACCCTTTGGTGTTGTGCAGCCCGCTCTGAGGGAGGCAGTGGGCGGGGTCGGCGAGCAGAGAGGGGCAGCCCCTCACGCTCCAACGAGGTCATCAGCCCAGAGATTCTCAAGATGCGAGCCGCTCTGTTCTGCATCTTCACCTACTTGGACACGCGCACACTCCTGCATGCCGCCGAGGTCTGCCGGGACTGGCGCTTTGTGGCCCGCCACCCTGCCGTCTGGACACGGGTGCTGCTCGAGAATGCCCGAGTCTGTTCCAAGGTGCCTGTCTCTGCCTGCTGCCCCTGCCCTCCCACTCGTCCCTGCTGTGAACTCACCTCCACCCCCTACCTTCTCCAGCGTATGGCCCCTCCAGGCCTGGTCTTTGCAAACCTTATGAGACCCCAGCTCTTGCCCGGCTTCCCAAAATGTTCTCATGGGGCCGCCTATCCTGGAGCTGGTCCACCTCCAGCCAACCAAGCTCAGACCCCTCACCCCCAGGTAACCCCTCTCTCTTTGCAGTTCCTGGCAATGCTGGCTCAGTGGTGCACGCAGGCCCACTCGCTGACACTGCAGAACCTGAAGCCCCGGCAACGGGGCAAGAAGGAGAGCAAGGAGGAGTATGCCCGGAACACCCGGTGAGGCCGTGGTGGGTGGGTGCCCCTGGGCTGCTGACCCAGAAGTACGTGGGGATGCTTTCCAGAGCAGGAGGTGGGTACAAGCCACCCCTGACCTCTTATCCCCAGTGGCTGCCTGGAAGCAGGGCTGGAGTCCCTGCTGAAGGCTGCGGGGGGCAACCTGCTGATCCTGCGCATCTCCCACTGTCCCAACATCCTCACCGACCGTTCGCTCTGGCTGGCCAGCTGCTACTGCCGTGCCCTGCAGGCTGTCACCTACAGGTAGGTCTGCCACACCAGATGCAACCACAGAGGGCTGGCTTTGGGCCCAAGGGATCCTGGGGCTCTGTGTACCCTTTCCCCTGGGCCCTCAGGCAGAGGAACCCAAGAGCTCTGTAGCCCCAGAGAAGGGAGCAGAGGCCACCAGGGTTGGGTGGCCCCAGCTTTGTCTTTTCAACAGGAGCGCCACAGATCCCGTTGGCCATGAGGTCATTTGGGCCCTGGGCGCGGGCTGCAGAGAGATTGTCTCCCTTCAGGTGGCGCCACTTCACCCCTGGTGAGCCCTGGCAGGGGTGAGGAGGGGACAGAGTTGGGTGGGGCCTGGGGCTGAGGACTGAGCAGATCTGGGCCCACTCCATTAATTGGCTTGGGAGACAGAGTCACATTCATCAATTGGTGCATTTAAGTGTTAGGTACCAACCAGGCTTAAAATCAGACCTGGGGGCGTGTCCCGGCTTACCAGCTGTGTGACTTTGAGCAACCCAATCGTGCGTCAGTTTCTCAACCTGCAAAATGAAGGTGATATTAGGGGTCTGTTGACCTTGTTAGGACTGTTGCTGGCTCAAATGAGATGTGCCCATTAAGCCTGTAGAGCCCACAGTGAGTGGCGAGTCAACACTAGCTAGAAGTAGATAGGTTGATTTGGCACGTGAAAGGCAGCTCAGGGCGGTCAGTGGGTAGTGGACAAGAAAGCTGGTTGTTGGAGAGTCCAGGGCGTGAGGTGACTCATGGTTCTCCTTGGAGCTCCTCAAACATGTCAGGCTTTTCTGCTCCCTGAGCCTTGCCCCACAAGCCCTGTCCACGCGTGGCAACTCCTCCCGGGTCCTCCAGTGCTTCTTCAGTAACACCCTGGTAGAATCTGTCACTGCTCTCCTGCCTTCATCCCTACTGCACCTGTCCTGACCCCGGCTGTAGTCTACTTTGCAACAGTTTCTCAATATTTCAGTCTCCCCAAGACTCATGGTTCTCAGGGCAGAGGCTGTAAATGTCCATTTCCACATCTGTGGTACCAAGTGCGCGACAGATGCCAGGGCAGTGTCTGTGGCCTGGGCGAGCGTTGAGAGATTCAGTGTTCAGGGAAACAGCAAATTTGGTGTGTGTGGTGGGCAGAGCTGGGCAGTGCCGGGCAGTGCATATGGAAAGGCAGGTTGGGACAAGGTCAGGAAGGGGTTTAGATTTTGCATTTTATCTAGAAAGTGCTGGGAAGCAATTGGGGGATTTTAGATCTTAATTACATTCAGACATATAACATTCTTTGTTCCCCCTTCACCTCACTGTCCATTCCCTCAGGGAAGGGACCATGTCTGTATGGTCACCACTATGTCCCCAGGGCCTAACTCAGTTGTTCTTGACTGTAGTAGACGCGTACGACCGTTTGTTGAATGAGTGAGAGAATGTAGGAATGACTGGCTCACTGTCAGCAGCTGGGAGGATGAATTGTCAGGGAGCCTGGTTGTAGTCCAGGTGAATATTGACGGTGGTCTGAACTGTAGGTTGAAGACTAATTTAGGAACCAGAATCCATGGGGCTTGGCAGGAGGTGAGGGAGGAGGAGTCGGGGATGATCCCAGGTTTTGGGCTTGAGCAGCTGGGGTGGTTGGTGGGGCCCTTGCCCGAGGCAGGGGCTGAAGGAGGAGCAGGCTTGGGATGTCCTGCAACCAGATGCTTTCCTGACAACCTTCCCTGCCCCCCATTCTTCAGCCAGCAGCCCACGCGCTTCAGTAACCGCTGCCTGCAGATGATCGGTCGCTGTTGGCCCCACCTTAGGGCCCTGGGGGTTGGGGGCGCCGGCTGTGGGGTGCAGGGCCTGGCATCGCTCGGTGAGTCTTTCCTTGGGACTGCGGTGGGGGTTAGCGGGAAACAGGCATGGGTGTGACGCTAAAATCTCAGAGGAGCTCTGGGCTGCAGCCTGGGTGGTGGCAAGAGTGTTGTTAGCGGGCTGGGCAGGAGGTGACCTGGGGAGCTCATCAGCAGGACCTCCCCCTTCCTCCCTCTTCCTAGCAAGAAACTGCATGCGGCTGCAGGTCCTGGAGCTGGACCACGTGTCGGAGATCACCCAGGAGGTGGCGGCTGAGGTCTGCCGGGAAGGCCTGAAAGGATTGGAGATGCTGGTGCTCACGGCCACCCCCGTCACGCCCAAGGCCCTGCTGCATTTCAACAGTGAGCAATGGGGATCGGGGGGTGGGGTGCAAGTGTCACCTCTTACCATGCCTTGTCAGCAAGGAGCATAACCAGGTCCCTGTCACTCCTAGTCAGCAAGCACCGGTGCTGGAGTTAGACTGACTGGGGTTCTAGTCCTGGCTTTGCCACCAGTGTCTTCTGAGGCCAGTGTGGCATTCAGGGCCTTCCAGCATCTGGTCCAAATAGTTGAGGTCAACAGACATCTGTTGCCCTGCGCTCAGCTCACGTTGGAGACAAGAGCAAGGCAGCACCGTCTTCCCCCATGTGAGCCTCCAGCCAAGGGCTGAGGCAAGAGAACAGACAGATTAAGAGCACAGGTTTCACAGCTGTACTGACCTGGGTCTCAATTCTGACTCTGCTGCTTATTAGCTGGGTGACTGAGGGCAAGTTATTATACTCCTCGGAGTTTTGTACCCCATCTCCTAGGCTGATTTTCTAGGACAAATGGGAGGATTAAATGAGATGGTGTGTGAGCCCCCAAGGACAGTCCTCAGAGGGAGGATTCCTCTCCCAGGTACGGACTCCAGGGCGTGGCTCCCCTGGCCCCGCCTCCCGCTGGCCACACTCTCCACCTTCAGTCATTCCTCTGCCTTCACAGAGGACACCAGTGCCCAGCTTGGGCTTCGCACACCCATCAAGTGAGACCATCACTCAAGACCATTTGACCCTTGGAAGGACCCCGCGTCCTGAGCGCTGAGGGTTCCTTGACCTTATCGTTTCCAGGACCCACTTCTTCCCGCCCCTTCAGCCTTGTGGCCTTGCCTTGGACTAACCACCAGAATTAACTGTTCAGCTTTCAAAATCATGACCTTCAGGACCCTCTCAGCCTCCTGGCCTTCCTCCTCCTCCTCTCCTGACTTCATGGCAACACCCAGTCCCTTAAGCCCTCTGCCTGCACTGGTTTGCTCCCTGTCTCCCTTCTTCCACGCTCCCGCCGAGACCCAGCAGCCTCACCTCAGCTGCCCTGTCCTCATTATTCATTGCCAAATGCCCAGGCCGCAGTGCACCTGTCCCCTCTGCCGGGGGACTTCCCAGAGCCCCTGCACAGCTGTTGCCCATTCATCCCCGCAGCGATCACTGCAGACGCCACTCTTCGCCATCACCTTCCGCCTTCTCCCGGTGTCCGGTGGAGCCCCTGAGCAGCATGGGTCAGCCCTCCACTTTATGTCCCCAGGGCCTGGCATTTGACTGTCTCACAGTTGGGTTCTGATTTTATTAGTGAGAGGAGAGGAGGCAGCCCCATTGCCCAGGCCAAACACAGGCACACACCTTACCCACCTTTTCCCAGGCATTTGCCGGAACCTCAAATCCATTGTGGTCCAGATTGGGATTGCTGATTATTTCAAAGAGCCGAGTAGTCCTGAAGCCCAGAAGCTATTTGAAGACATGGTGACCAAACTTCAGGTGAGTAATTGGCTTTGAGGCCGCCCAAGACCCCCATGACCCTAGGCTGGGGCTGGTGACTTGGACGTGTGGTGGGAAGGCCTCACCTGTGTGACCCTGAGGGTTCGGCCCCGAGGAAAACTAACCCAGGTTTGGTCTGCAGGCCCTGCGACGGAGGCCCGGCTTCTCTAAGATCCTGCACATCAAGGTGGAAGGTGGCTGCTAACCCGGGTGAGGGGCGGCAGGGCTCCTGCCAGCCCCACACCAGGGCGCTCTCTTTGGACCTCCAGAGAGACCCTGATTTGGACTAGACCTTCGGAGGCCCGGTGTCATCTCTGGCTTCCAGGGAGGGGTTGACGGTTTCCTGTCCTCCTCCTGGGACAGCCGAGCAACAGGCCTGACCCTGGGCACTGCCTCTCCATGGCAGGAGCTTGGACAGAAGCTGCCCCAGGGCCCTCACCCAATTCCCAGCTGGAGCAGCCTTCTGGGCACAGCCAGCGAGGAGCTGAGTCACCACCAGCACCTGGTGTCTTCGTCCCGAGGATCTGCAATAACCACGCAGTGGCTCCACGGCTGCTCAGGCTGCTCTAGCAGACCTGCTGTTCTTGAGGCCCAGCCTCCCGGTCAGGGTCCTCTGCGGGGCGCCAGGCCAGAGGGGGCTCCTCAAGGCAGCTCAGACTTGGTAAGGAGGGCTCTTCTCCCTGCCCTACTCCGTGTCAGCCCTCTGTGGGGCACCCCTTCCAACAGCCCAGCTGGGCTCTGGGTCTACATTCTCTAGGGACAACCCACAGGCCTAGGGATCTGGGCAAGTGGTCAGCCAAAGGTGGGGGGTGGGAGCGCACTGAGGCAGTGGGAGTGGGCTTGGAGGGCAAAGCGTTCACCCGGATCTTCTCCCCAGGACACTGAGACCATCCCTCCCAAAGCGGGAAATTGCCAGGAAGAGAAAAAAAAAAGTTTTAATTGATATAAACAAAGCCCCTCCTCCGAACAAACACACCCCGTGACACACCAGAGCTAAATTCTGAGCTAAAAGGTGCATGTTTCCACACCCGTCAGCAATCCCGAGCCTTTGGAGGGGCCCTGGGAAACCCTGTCACCCGTGAGAAGCAGTTCCTGTCCTCCAGGAATGTTCTTCTAATCCAGGTGCTTGAACAGGACTCTGATGGCCCTCGGGTCCCTGCGGCTGTGTGGGAGGGAGTCACTGGGCTGACCTCTGTGCTGGGGCCCCGGGAAGCCGGGAGGAGGGTGGTTTGGTTTACTTCCTTGCCTGGCCAGCATGCTGAAAGCTGCGGCCCTGGAACGCAGCCAGGCGTGTGGGGCTGGGAGTGAGGTGGAACACCCTCATGGGACTCGCCCCCTTCCTCAGCCTCAGCTGGTCCCATGGGATGAGGGCTATGTTGGGAGTTTTCTGCCTGGGAGCAGTTCTGGGGCCCAGGCCAGAGCCTCTTGGCTTAGAAGCCACAGAAAGCAACGGGAGTTTTCACTGACCCTGGCACTAAGGCGCTAGACTCAGGTGTCCCAGTTCCTCCTCAGAACTCCCGCAGGGGTTCAGAGCTCGTGGGTCTTGCCAATCTTCGTTTGGAAGGTTCTTTCAAACATTCACCTAGATTCATCTTAGGGTTTTCTTCTCTCCTGTGCAGGACCGGCTTTCAGCCCTAACCGTTAGGCAGCTGGTCCTGGCTGGGGCCGAGTTTCCTCTAGTTTCAGCTTTCCAGGGACCCAGCTTTCTGCCACAACCTGGCTTGGACATCAAGACCCAGCCCTGGGTTACCCTGGGCAATGAGTCCTCCAGAGGTGGGCCCCAGACTCAGCAACTCACCCAGCATCCAGGGTTCCGCACCCAGCTCTCCCGTCTCTTCTCATTGTTGATGACTTTCCCTCCCATGGGTTCTTCTGGCCCTGCCCTCTGAAGACCCCAGACATGTCGGCAACTCCCCGCCCTGTCCTGCACGAAGCCTTGGCCTTGTAGCGTCCCCACCCCAGAGGTACTGGCTCTATGGACTCCCACCTCCCCAGCCCTGTCCCCAGGAGTCATGGGAAGCACAACTTTGCTGGCCTGGAAGGGAGGTGGAGGTCCACTTAGGGTCTGGCTGCCCTGGGGGCATCAGTCCTGCCTTCCAACTGTACTCTCAATAGCCCCTGCTCCCCATAACCCCAGGATCAGAGGTGCTGCCCTCCTTGTCTCCCGGACAAAGCACAAAGGGATGCCTGCTTGGCCAGAGTCTGCCCTACTGAGAGATTTTTTTCTGCCCCAGGAAGCCTCCATCCCAGAATACAGACTCTTGGCGATTTCCCCGTGGGTTGGGTGCCCACCAGGATGCCCAGCATCAGCCCTGGGAAAAGGAAGTCAGGGTGCATGGGCAGGGAGCTCAGCGGGAGAAAGTGGTGCCGGAAGGACTGATGCCGGTGGTAGGCTCATGGGCTGGTTCACTTGCGTGACGGCGCTGCACGCCGCCCACACTGCGGGCAGCAGGACGAACAAGGCCCCCTCTCCTCTCCTGCTTGGGGTGGGGGGGGAGTTTGCTTCTCATGGGTTTGGCTGTTTCCAGGAAACCCACCAAGTCCCTGCCCTGTGTCTTCCAGCCAAGTGAAGGATGTGTGGGAATATCTATTGCACATGCCTGGGCCCCTGCCAACAGGAACATGGGTTGCAGCGTGTCCCACTGCACACCTGCCCTGGGGGCTGACAGACTTGCGCAGCCCAGACGTCATGCCTGCCCTGAGACCTGGCAGGCTTGCAGCCCCCACCCGCACTAACGCCATTTGTTCACTTTGGCAACCACGCAGCTAGGGCCTGAAGGAGGGGAACGGACGGAGGGGCCAGCCTGCCTTCACTCACCCGTATCTTACACCTAACAAAGATGCAGAGGTTTAGAGAGTAAACCAAGGCAGGCCCTGCTCCAAGGGGCCCAGGCATGTATAGAGGGCACTCAGTGGTGGCCATTTGATGTCCCTACCACCTCCCAGCCATACAGCTCAACCCCAGCACCAAGGGGGTTCAGCATACTTGGCTGAGCAGTTCCTTTATTAGGGCTGCCCCAGCACTTGCAGAGAACAAAGGAGATGCTGTGGATGTCAGGATGCCAGAGGGAGTGGGCTGCCCAGAACCATGGCTTTTTACTGGTCAGAAGAGGCCACCAAAGGACCAAGTCAGCTCTTGTTTTCCTAGTTCCATGAGTGGAGTCTGAGCCAGCCCCTCAGGAAGTGCTTCAAAGAAAACACCCGCTTCCCCCCCCCCCCGCCCCGCCTCCTTCCTAAGGCCTGCTGCTCCAAGGTTTGGCTCTGTCCCTTGCTTTTGTGTCCTGCCTGCCTACGTGGTCCTGTCTCTAGTCCTTTGGGCCACGAGAGGGGAGCTGCCCAGGTCCCAGTCCTTCTAAGGCGCTAAACTGAAGACCTTAACAGAGTGACTATTGGTGCCAAAGACCCAGTTCCTGCTGGACTTGGGGTGATAACAGGAGAGATGGTGAGTGGGTACAGGGCCCAAGTGCCCACAATTGACTCAAACTGATGGGATCTGCCCCAGCCTGTCAGTCCCAGATGGGCGTTAACTTCCGTCTCCTAGGGGCCTGGCACATCTCTTTAGCCCTGGTGGCCACGCTTTCTCACCCAGCCTTGTCCCAGGCCTGCATTTCTGTATATATTGCTGTGTATCGTGTGTATGTATTTATTCCTGGACAAGTGTATTCTGCAGCTCTTGCCTGAGAATAAGGTGTAGAATTGGGTGAAGATCAGAATACCAGGGCCAACTAAGGCAGCCAGCTCCTATTCCCTCCCCAAACCCTTGGGAACCTGGCCAGTCCCAGGACCGCCCCGACAATCAGGCAGGCTTCCCCACCACGAGCCCTAGGCTTGCCTCGTGGCTGGCACGAGGTGGCTCGGCTCTAGTGGGCACTGCTGGTGGGACCTCCACAACTGACCCCCAGGCCCTGCCTTCCCTGCACAGCCAGGCTGCAATGGGCCTGAGCTGTGAGAGGGTAGCTTCCCCCACCCCAAGCACATCAGGCAGCGGGGTGGAGAGAATTTTTTGGTTTTGTTTCTGAAGTGGTGCCTGTACCTCCAGCCTCCAGGGGGCCTTCACTGGCCCCACTTCTCTGCCCCACCCAGGCATCACCGTCCCAGCACTTTGCTCCATGTCACCCATAGATGCCCTTTGCTGAATGTACCTGAGTGTATGTATTTAAGAGGATCACACAGGCATCGGAGAATTTATGGCTTTGTATCCAATAAAAGATGGTGAAACGGGAATATCTGCCTCAGGGAACTAAATGGTAGGTGGTCGTATTTGTTGGTCTATGTCACTGAGCCTTTCTGCAGCCAGAGTGCACTGAAGCGGAAGGAGGCGGGTGGGTGACCCGATCGGCATCGACAGGGTGAACAAATCATCTGAAGACCCGTCTCTGGACGGCAGACCCAGCAGCTGGAGGAAGGCCCTGCAGGTTACCACCTCGCCCCAGCTCACTCCCTTCCAGTGTCTGCATGTGGACAAAAAGCCTTGGGGCGCCACCCGACTCTCAGCCCTCTTTAAGGGTGGCCCCAGCACGGGCGCGGCAGGGGCAGCAGGCACCGCCCAGTCCCTTGTTGGCCTGCCACCTCCTCACTACCAGCCAACCAGGCCTCGGCCTGGGAGAGACTGAGTTGCCCAACATGGTCTGGCTTCAACTTCCCCATTTTACCAAATGGGGTTGCCCACCGATTTTATTACTCAGGTCTTAAAACACTAAAAATCAGAAAAACAAACAGGTGTTTAGGCTTAAACTGTGTGTGGCTCTAGCACCAAACAAGCAGATGAGCATTTACCCCACAACTCTGAACCACCTGTTCTTATTTTCATTATACATTTAGGACTATTGAGACTCAGAAAAAAATAGTTCCCCCAAGGACCATCAAGTCAGGAGGGATGCCGGATTCCAAAGGCTGGACCTGTCCTCTACCCTACTCCACTTGTCAGTCTGTCTAACCAGGAATGGTTGGACTCAGAAATTTAAAAATGATCTCTTCCCAGTATCAAGCAGCAAAAGCTTTAGTGGCTCAATATCTTCAGGGTTTACCTCTAGCTTTCACAATTATCAATTACAATTAGACCCTGATTTCCAGTTGATCTGTGGCCAATCCTAAATTGCACTGGTCAGGAGAGAGCAAAGTGAGACCAGCTGGGCGCTCCTTCAGCCACAACCTCAACGGACCTGGTCACTGCAGTGCAAAGAGGATATGGCCTAAGACATTCCTCCCTGAGACCTCAACCTCAGGATCTTGACTGAGAGACCAAAAGACTCAACCAACAGAATACAGAGGTAGAAGGGGCAAACAGGTCGTATAACACATTTACTCAAGCCCAAAGAAACCTTGGGAGTGTCTGTATTTGCCAGTCCAGGCCAAATACAGAATAAAAGGAAAGGGACTCCACATCTCCCAGTCGCTTCTGGGACTAAGATGCCAGAATGAAACTTCGGGGTGGGCCGCTCAGGTGGAGCTCCTGCAGGCAGCGTGACCCGCACTCTGCCTGAACCACCACGAGAGGCTTCCAAAGACAGCACACACGAGGGTAAGTTTTCAATTTTTTGGGTGTGTACACACAAAACTAAAATGCTGAGCTCCAGTAAACACATTCTCTAGTTAAACACATCCATGAGTAAAACTGTCTCCAAGTAATTTGCAAAGTGAATTTGAAGCCTTAAGTTTATTTAAATAACCCCTAGTTAGAACAGAGCGGGCCAATCACTACATCTTCCTTGTAATACCAATTACCCAACAAGACAGGGAGAGTAAGGGCACCCTGCAGCCAGCCTGCCAGCCACTTGTGTGAAGGGTGGGGTGCCTCTCAATGGAGGCGGCCACGACCTCGGCCCCGGCCAGCAGCTGGGGGTGCGTCCACTGTCGAGCGAGGATTCTTGATGGTTTCATCTACGGACACGATAAGGCACGCAGCTTCAGAGGCTGCAGTCAGGGCATTGATCCGAACCATTGCCGGCTCCCACACGAAGGCCTCGAAGTTGTCAGCAATGTCCTCATTGTTGATGTCTACTCCGTACCACATGCCCCCCTGAAAGATCAGAACAGGGGACAAGGTATCATGGACCTGCTTTCAAATTTCTTCTTGTATACTCTCCCTCCAAAAGACTGGGCGTGGTAGGAATCCTGGCTCTCTCAACCTGCCGACACTTCCCGGAAGATGGCATCGGCCTACAGCCTCAGGACAGGAACCTGGAAGCCCACCTCTTCCCACCGCTGCCCCCGCCAACCACCCTCTTCGAACCTTGGAAACGCCGACCATGCAGCGCTCTGGCGCTCTCCCTGGAAAGCTGCTGCTTCAGGGAAGCCTCGCGTCAGTCCCACCTGAGGACTGCATTTATCAAACCATGGTTCTCAAGAGGAATGATCCCTTATCTTACTGTATCATCTACTGTTTCCATTTGTGCCCATTTGATGAGGAACCGAGGCAGAGAAAGTGATTTGCAGAAAAGTCCTAACCCAAGCCAGAAGCAAGGTCACTCACTGAGCACTGCGGCTGTTAGAGTGCCCAGCACTAAAACCAGTATGTGCTAAGTAACAAATGAGGTTCTCAGATGCGACAACTGGGAGGTGGCAGAGCCATGGCTGGACTGAGGTCAGCAGAACTGAGGGGTGCCTCGCCAGGGTGCTTCCAGGCATGGGCCACGGGGTTTCTCTGCCTCCTCCCATCGCAGCGGGAGGAGTGATCACACTCAGGAGGACTGAAGACACCCTGGACCTCCAGTCCTGGCACTGTGGCTTTGCCTTGGAGGCAGCACAGTTAGTTGGGACTGAGTTTGGTTCCTGCACTGTCACCTGGGCTGAGAGCACAGAGTAAGTCATCATAGCACACACTTAGAATCTAGCTCCATCCACCCAAATCCCTGGACTCCCCCACCCCACCCCCTGACACACACAAAAAGCAAGCACCCACCTGGGCATGCCGAGCCCGCAGCTTGTTGAGGATGTTTGTGGCATCAAAGCCAGCATTGTCACACAGCTGGCGTGGGATAATTTCCAAGGCCTTGGCGTATGCTCCAATCAACAGCTGCTGTTTTCCAGGAATGGTCCTGGAGTAATCCCTCAGGTACTTGGAGAGCTCCATCTCAATGGCCCCACCACCAGCCACCACGGAATCGTTCTGCAGAGACCAGACCCATCTCTCAGCACAAGCGGTCCGGGCCCCAGCCACAGAGAAACTGGGCCACTCAGCCGACAGGACCCACGGCCCAGAACGTGGTTCTTCATTCTCTTCCCCATCCCAAGCCCCACGAAGTCTATACATGGCACTTGCCTAGCACGTCCCAACTTCAGTGAACTGTATACTTTCTGACCACCTCCAAGGTTGCCTGCAGCTTGAGGACACTGGCACAGTCCCTAGTATGACTGACTCCCTCAGCTCCAGTCACAAGAACAGTCTCAGCTCACAAGAGCAAGTCTTCGCCATCAAGGCAACATGACTTATTTTGAGAAACTGAGGCTGTTTCTCTATGATTT